AACATTGCTTTGAATAATTGCTATGCTAATGTTCCTAATCCTAACTTTTCATCATTCAGAAACCCACAGATATCTAAGCAGTGTAAGTTATTGATAGTGTTCAGAAATAGTACTTTTTAAATCTAGTGTGTTTATATGTATATCTTAACATCTTCCTTAAGGTCTATGTTGTTATTATTTTTAAGTTTTAAAATGATACTAGATAAATGGTAACATTTTTCCACCGAGTAAAAATAACTCAAGACTCTCTTCCTTATTTCTGTCTAGCTTTTTCATGTGACTTGGCAAAACATTATCAGAGTATATGACATGGCTGACTGCTTTCCCTGTAGTGTTTACAGTACACATGATCAATGCTCAGAACTTATAATAATAAATCTCTTCATCTCTCTAAGGATGGGGATGGGTCCTGCCTCTCTGACGAAGACATTACAGAACTCATTATCTGCTTGCGAAACAACATTCGCTCCCCAGACAAGAAACAGCTGACCATGAGTCTCCTGAACCTGCGGAAAAGGCTGCTCTCTGAAAAAGTACCCCTGAACAGCCTGCAGGTGGTGCTCTTCAGCTTCCAGGATGCAGTAAGTTGCCAGAGCTCACATTTTCCTTGGCCGTGTATCATTTCTCTTTCCTCACTTCATTCTCCTTGATTCCTCTCCTTGATTCTGCAGGAAATGGGTGAGGAAGTCCCACTCACAGATGAGACACAGTGAGGAGAGAGGATATAAACTCCTCACTGAGACCAATAAAATTTGACTAAGATTTTACTTTATCTGATGTCTGCCTTGTAAAGCCTCCCTCATGTTTACGCCTTCCTTCTGTGGTTTTCTTTGGGACACCATTTACTATGACACATTTGATTGACAGCTGAAAATGGAGAATCGAGGAGAGGAATCAAGGAGAAGGAAGCAAGGAAAGAGAATTGAGACACAGCCCTTGTGGTCAAAGCTGTTGGCTGTATTTGAGAGGAACATTGTTTTTTCCACATTTTTCTCTATGTGTAGGTGAAGAAAGTCTTGAGACAGCAGCAGGTGAAGCCCCATTGGATGTTTGCTTTGGATAATCTGCTGAGGCAAGCTGTACAGGATGCCATAACAGTTCTTCTTCCAGGTACCAGTGAAATTTGAAAGTTTTACAATGCCAATTAGTGACAAAACCAACAAAAAAAACTAAATAAAGTACAGACAGACAGACAGATCCGTTTGTGTACACACACACACACACACACACACACCACACAGACACCCCCCCACACACACACCCACCCACACACACACACACACACACACACACACACACATACACACATATAAGATAGGGCTGTCAGTAAATTGATACCAACGTTTTGCCAATAGGCAAAATATGACTTCTATAATGTATGTTTCTAGTGTTTGTGTTACACAACTCACTCCATTAGATACAGTATTTCAGAATTTATACAGAAAAACACAGTGATTTATATATATTATATATATATATATATATTATATATTATATATATTTTTTTTTTTTTATGTTTAAGTAAAACAACATTACTGACAATGAAAGTTAAAATTTAATAAATGACTGCACATTTAATATAATGACATATGTTTAAGTATGGCCTAGTCAATGGGTAGTCAATATTATACCATTTAACATGGTAAACATTTAGTGTTTATTTTCATACATTTTATTACCATGTTCATAGATTGTTCACTTAGGCCAGTGACTCTCCGACTTTTCACACCAAAGTACCACCAAAGTAAAAATGTGGCTTTCCGAATACCACCAGAACTAAATTAAAATATATAACAGGACTATTCCACATCTAATCTAGGGCTAAACCAGGTCTAAAAATGGACTACGTCATCTCCACGGTATTTCTACACAATAAATTATCCAAAGGTGGAAAAAAAATTTACTAAAAATAACTTCAAATTTGGTAAATCAACAAACTGAAGCGCTATCCAAGTACCACCTGAAAGAATTGACATACCACCAGTGGAACGTGTACCACACACTTTGGGAAACACTGACTTGATTGATGACACATGCAATAACTTTTTCTTTCTGAAGTGAACTGGTGCAAATATTGGACAACATCATAACAGTAAATGTATATCTTTATTGCAGAGCTCAAGCTTCAGTTGCAGTCTTCCTTTGAGGTCGAAGACTGCAGTCCCGAGGAGCAGCCAGCAGATTTGGATACGCCTGTAAATGTCCCAGAACCACAGGGACGTTTACAGTTTGACAACCAGCCCACAGCAACATTTAATCAGATCCCAAGCCCTCCTTCAGACCCAAACTGTCCCCTCAGCGAATCCTTGAGAGAGCTGCGATTAGAGACAAGCAGGTACAGTACATTCACTTAAAGTTGCACTGTGTGAGTTTTCAGGTTCGGGGTCCGACACCATGGAGATGCTATTGCTTTGCCCGTTATGTTTCAAAATATGGTATTAAACTTATATAAGATGCATTTATTCAGTTATGGGTATTTTTATTGCTCAAAGTGCATAAAAACATGCATTCTTACTGTGCGTGGGGTCACCATGGAAATTGAAAAGTTTAATGCCATAATTTGGAATATTGGAGCTAAAGCAATAACATCTCCATGGAGACAAGTAACTGGCGGTGCGGTTTTCGCTACCAGAAAAGTTAAACTGTGCAATTTAATTATAAAGTGACAGTGTTCCAGTGTAAATTATCAGACCCTTGGAGACAAACTAGTGATTAACATGAAGTAATATTGATGGTGCTTAGTGCTGAGTGAGCTCTGTTCCTGTGTGTGTGGCAGACTGCTGAGGCAGCTGAGTGAGAAGGAGAGGGAGTACCAGGACTTACTGAGAAAGTCCCTCCAGAGGAAACAGCAGCAGATAGATGCACTCAAGAACTCAAGAAACACCAGCACTGGTAACAATATGTACATTATAAACTGTCGTGGTAAACATAGTCATAGTACTGTTCAATCCAAGATCTGATTATATTGTGTGTGTACTAATTAAAGGTCCTATATTACATAACATTGATTCCTGTGACCTTTAAGCCATGTTATAATGTTGCCTTTTCAAAAACATACTGGGAGTTGTGTTTTGTTTCATTCACATTCACACGTTTGAATAATCCTTTATTATTAGTCTGTCAACATCTCCAAAGCTCAAAATTCTCCACCAGTGTCCCAATGTCCACCTTGTGATGTCATATCGTTGTAGTTTTTCAAGAAACAATCTACCTTTTACCTTGAGTTCAGTAGAGATACGAAATTCAAATATGAAATGTCATGTTTTTATTCCTTCAGAAATACTGGGAAATGTTCCCTATGTTAAATTTCCTTTCAGTTAATCCATTGCACAGTTATCTCAACACTATAACAAAAGGCACACGTGATTCATAACTCAAGTCGTAACATGGTCTCGATTGCTTCTTTAGTACTCATAGTAGCTTGTGGTTGTAACATTTCTCCAAACTTGTGCTAGTGAGTCCTCAGCCACACCTTGCCTGCAGGCTCCAGTCAGCTCAAATGTGCTCAAACTTGACTTGTATATTGGGATAATGGTTTTCACAACTCTGTCAGTTCTTTTAATACCTTTTATGTTTTTTGTTTTTTATAGATGAAATTTCCTGTCCTCAAAACAGCTCTACTCCTGAGGCTAGGGCTATGGCACGCTGGCTCAAGTCTGTCCCTGTAGATAAAGACACCATTGACAAGGTAGGTCTTACAAATGAATGCATCAATGGCTAAGCCAATGTCTTGCTAAATCACAGTCGTGTTTATTCTAGCTCCTGTCCCATGAGTTCACCTTGGATATTCTGTTTGCTGTGGCCTGCAGGGATGATCTGATGTACTGTGGGATAAGGTGAGCTGCCTCCACACTTATTCCTCACACAGCCACTCATGCACAATCAAGAAGAGAATATGATTTTATGCAAAGACAGTTTTAAAGTGCTATTTCACTGTAGTTATGTGGTATTTTTGGATGAAGTTATATTATAATTTCTTTATGATAACTATACTTTAAAGGTTTATGATGTCATGTGGTAATACAGGAAGTGGTCAACTGTGTTTTTAAACTCCATACACCTTCACTAGAATCATATGCATAATTTTGCATAATTTAAGATATTGTTTAAACCATTAAACAAAAAGGTAAAAGCTAAACGTGTGAATGAAACAATGCACAACTATAGATATTCTTTTGAACAGCATTATAACAACATAGGTAATGTATAGTTCATAATTTTCCAAAGAAGAAAAGGGGTCTTGGGTTCTCCAGGGTTAATTGTTTAAAAATGTAACGGGATGTAAACTTGTCAGTAGATGGTTACGGTCGCGCTGGGAGTAAGTGTTTGCGTCACTATGGAAACGGCGTTTAATGTGTTACGTTTTTTGTCCGATGTGTGTAAAACAAGAACTTGAATTTACTCCACATGACACTCGAAATATTACAAAATTAAGTTAAAGTTTTATGAATAAACTAATAACTAATGTACCTTTCAGTTTTACATAGTATAGTTTTGGTTCAACGTAGGTCCGGAAAGAACAGCGGGCACCCGTATATATTATTTATTTTTTTTTTTTATTTGACACAAATACAAAATACTGATTAATTGCTGTGTGGTATAATATAATATGTATGCATGTGTAATTATCTCATTACAGCACGAAATAACAAGAAGAGGAAAGCAGATGATGACGAGCCTGCTCAAGCCCCCAGACTGACATCAAAACAGGTAGGAAAATAGAAAATAGATATTATGTTGAACAAAAATGTGCGCAGATGACCGGAAGACTTATATATTACATATATTACATTTTTGTCTCATTTGTCCCTTTATATTTTTGTCTCAACAGAATAGAGCAATAGAACGGGCGAAGAAGGATAAGAAAGTGGGTGTGCGCTATTATGAAACACACAATGTGAAAAACAAGAACAAAAACCGAAAGAAGCCAGCATCTGCTACAGAAGGCCATAAAGCCAAGAGATCAAAGCACTAGACTGGATAATATACGACACAACAAATAAATCTTTATTTAATTCTGCTCTGGAATTTTAACTGGTTGAGACAAGGGTCTACGTGATGCCTTAATTTCTCTGTTATCATTTACAGAGGCAAAGGCTGGGAGCTGTTACTGACTTGTCTTTTACCCTGGCAAACCTTCTGTTGGTTTGAAAGTGTATTCCAGTTTACAGTATTTAAATCTTACTGTAACACCACAATGTGCAGTTGTTGCTAAAACTGTATTTGATTTCATATTTGATAATGAATGGTAACAAAAAAATAAAAGATGATTATTTCGTAGGTGTAGGTTGCTTCTTAGATGTGATGATTGCTTCCAGCTCGGTCTAAAAAAAATAAAATAGTAATTAGAGTTGATAGTGCACTGTGTAACTTTTTGGTTGGGGGTTTGTCATCTACTTGTTTCTATGGAGATGTTACTGCTCTGCCTGGGATGTTCCACAGTATGGCATTAAACAGCTCTACTTTCCATTTATTCAATTATAGGTGGTTTTATAGTTCAAAAATATCCAGAAAAACAGGCATTCGAACTTCGAGCGACGTTGCCTCTCCACAGATCGGATCAGTCTCCATGAAGATAGAAAGGTTTAATGCCATACTGTGAAACATTCCAGATAAAGCAATAACGTCTCAGTGGAGAAAAACACTTGATGGACCCTCCACCAGAAAAGTTACAAAATGCACCTTTCAAACCAGAGAGATTTGGAGTTACCTTGAGCAGTTTGTTGGAGGTGTTCAGAACTTGGATCTCTGCTGAGTGCTTCTTCTCCTCTACCTGTCTCCTCTCGGCTTCTCTTTTCTCAATGGCATCACATTTGGCCTTCTCCTCCTGTAGCTGCTTGATTAGATCCTGCTTCTCACTCTCCAGTGTTGCAATCTGTCAGACAATAATGTGGTATGGGACAGTGGAAAAGTATGACTGAATATTAAAAGACAAACAGTGCCATCTGCTGGAAACTTTGTAGGATTAGATTGTTGTTAGGATAAGATGTCTAGTCTGATTTTTCTGATGCTGAATATTGGCCAATGGCTTTGTTTGTTTCAGTAACTAAATCAAAGTGAATAGTGAACTAGTTTACAAAAACATGTAAAAACAAACTTAAAAAAAATAAAATAAAATTAAAAAAAGATAATACTTTGGCACTACAATTAGTTGCTTACCAAGCATATTTTGATATTTTGTTAAAAAAAAAAGAAAAAAAAGGAATTATTATAGTCAATTACAATACCTTTGACTTTTGACATCGATCGACCCTATGCAGTTTAAAGGGCCCATATTATGTTATTTCCTGGTCTGTTATAATGCTGTTTCCTCATCAAAAACATACCTGGAGTCATGGTTAACACACAAACTACATATTTAGGCTGAAATCTTCTCTCAAACTGTAAATGCTCTGTTCCACCTTATGATCTGATATTGTAATACAGGAAGTGCTCCACTGTGTTTTTAAACTCCGTATACCTTCACTAGAATCCATTTAGATAATTTCAGCTCTGGAATTTCCAATCTCTACTAAGCCAAACGTGATGAAGCGTCAGTTTTCAAGTTAACAGCTACCTTTTACAATTTTGAGCTTTGAAGATGTAAACAGAAGAGTAGTACAATAATCCAGGATTACTTAAACATGTGTGAATGAAATAAAACACAGGGGTCTAGGTGTGTTTCTAATGAGATAACAACATTCTAACATATCTTAAAGCTCATAAGAGTCCATATTGTGTAATCGGTTTCGTTGTAAATATAACAATGAATGAACAACAATAGTGTAAATTATGTAATTTACCTTTTTCTCCCTGTCAGACTTGTCAAGTTCTGACTGCAAGGCCTTGCTCATCCCAAATGCCACACTGCTCTCGTAGATTGTCTGATATGTTGCAATGGTTGTCTTTATTTCATCTCTCACTCTTAACAGCAGCTGACCTCTCTCTGCACAGTTTATGGTCACTTGTCTGATCAGCTCATCTGAACAGACACAAATTGCATTCATTTGTATTAGTGTTATTACGATACAAAAATACATATGATACAAAAAACTCAATTTCGATTTGTCTCAATACTATATGCCATTGTTGTCAGTTGTAAAGGCCACAAGATTAATGTGTGAACCCAATCTGTAATATACTGAAGGTTGAACATTTCAAAGCTGCATTGTGTAACTTTTCTATTGGAATGATTTTCTCAATGGAGATGGCATTTCTTCATCTGGAATGTTTCACAGTATGGTATTAAACCTTTTTATCTTAATGGGAGACCAAACTAGACCAAGTTACAGATCAGATCTTTGAAAGAGCGACCCCGCTCACAGCCAGAATGCCTGTTTTTTCAAGATATTTGAGCTATAAAACCACTTATAATTTAATAAATGGTAGATCTGTTTAATGGCATACTGTGGAACATTTCAGGTAGAGCAATGACATATCCATAGAAACAAGCAGGCGATAGACCCCAACCAAATAGTTTCATAGTGCACCTTTAATAATAATAATAATTTAAAAAAAAATCTTTCTCACCAAAGCACTGTGAGTAGAGTTCCCTGCGCACTGGGCAGATGCCTGTGAGTCTGGCCTGTTTCTGTTGTAACTTTGTGTCCAGTTGTTCAGTTAGTTTAATCACATCTGATCTTGTAGAAGAGGCACTGGACACTTTCTGCACAAATAATTGATTCCCCTCTATCCATTCTCTGTGGAAGAAATAATAATTCAGCAAAAAAGAAAAAAAGAAGAAAAAAAAAAAAAATCAATGGTTCTTGTATGTCCTTGTTGGAAAATGTCCCACCTGGGAGGAAGTATGGAACTGAGGATGTCTTCATTGTGTTGTTCAGTCTCTGGTTTTGGTTTGGGGGGAGGAGGCACAGGGGTGGTGTCTGGAGACTGCTGGGGACTGACTTTAAAGTTGCGACCCTGGAAGAGAAATTGATAGAAGAATAGATAACTATTTGATACAGAGCTGTGAAGTTGAACACAATTTTTTTGCCCAGGCTATATATTTTGCAGTGACCTGATACTTTGTGTTTAGTTCAGGATTGCCTTTTGTTGTGTTATACATACACACACATATACGTATACACACAAATACACAGCGTTCGCAACTTGTGTACAACTCACCTTTGGAGACTTGAGTCTTGGCCTTTGGCTCATGAGCACCGGGTTGTCATACTTCAGCAGCGAGTCTGCCGGTGGGATCATGGTGGGAACGTAAAAACTATTTACTGTAGATGCTAAATTAACCCTGGAAAACCAAAAAAAAGTCAAATTTAACCTCAAAAGCTCAGAGTGCTACTTCTGGCCCCTGCATAGAGACACCTAGTGGATAAATATTGAACTGACACGAGCCAGAGTGGGAGTGACAAGATAGCTGACCAAATGGTGTTTTGTTGAGCTGGAAACCTACCCTAACAAAATTCTCTTCTCAGCAAACCAGCGATAGCGATTCTGATTAATTGTTTCAACCAGATGTTGAAAGTGATGATGTGAATCTTCTGCCCAAGACAATGACTCGTCCAATGATGAGGATGTGCCGTTTGCCGAGACTGCTAGCTCACAGATGGAGCCAAATCGTGCCGCAAAAGCTTACAAGTGGCAAAAGAAAGGCTTTGAGTTGCCTGATGTGAGCTTTGAAGGTGAACAGGTTGCCATGACAACCCAGACCAGATCAGCTGAACATCCAGGAGTACAATGATTCCATGGGAGGAGTTGACATGCTGGATGTGCGTCTTGAACACTGTAAATTTCCCATTCGGAGCCGTTGTTAGTATATGATACTTTTCTGGCATTTCTTGTCTATTGCGGTGATCAACATTGACAGTGTTTCCTATTGTTATTCTTTGAAATGATACGCGTAAAACCCAATGGGTCAGAATTGACCCTAATCCTAAATCAGGGAATAAAGGGTTAAAATTGAAAAAGTTGATATTTTGGTGTTCAGTGGACTCATAGCAGTCATTTAATGTATAGTTCATAATTTTCCAAAGAAGAAAAGGGGTCTTGGGTTCTCCAGGGTTAATTGTTTAAAAATGTAACGGGATGTAAACTTGTCAGTAGATGGTTACGGTCGCGCTGGGAGTAAGTGTTTGCGTCACTATGGAAACGGCATTTAATGTGTTACGTTTTTGTCCGAGTGGAAACAAGAACGCTATTGTAAAAAAAAAAAAAAAAAAAAAAAAAATGAAGATGTCTGCATTGAATAAATCTTAAATACCCAAATGCCAACAATAATAATTTGTGTAATTAGATGGCAGAGCAGTCTTGCACAATTAGTTTTATTTAATTGAATTTACTCCACATGACACTCGAAATATTACAAAATTAAGTTAAAGTTTTATGAATAAACTAATAACTAATGTACCTTTCAGTTTTACATAGTATAGTTTTGGTTCAACGTAGGTCCGGAAAGAACAGCGGGCACCCGTATATATTATTTTATTTTATTTTTTTTTATTTGACACAAATACAAAATACTGATTAATTGCTGTGTGGTATAATATAATATGTATGCATGTGTAATTATCTCATTACAGCACGAAATAACAAGAAGAGGAAAGCAGATGATGACGAGCCTGCTCAAGCCCCCAGACTGACATCAAAACAGGTAGGAAAATAGAAAATAGATATTATGTTGAACAAAAATGTGCGCAGATGACCGGAAGACTTATATATTACATATATTACATTTTTGTCTCATTTGTCCCTTTATATTTTTGTCTCAACAGAAAAGAGCAATAGAACGGGCGAAGAAGGATAAGAAAGTGGGTGTGCGCTATTATGAAACACACAATGTGAAAAAACAAGAACAAAAACCGAAAGAAGCCAGCATCTGCTACAGAAGGCCATAAAGCCAAGAGATCAAAGCACTAGACTGGATAATACACGACACAACAAATAAATCTTTATTTAATTCTGCTCTGGAATTTTAACTGGTTGAGACAAGGGTCTACGTGATGCCTTAATTTCTCTGTTATCATTTACAGAGGCAAAGGCTGGGAGCTGTTATTGACTTGTCTTTTACCCTGGCAAACCTTCTGTTGGTTTGAAAGTGTATTCCAGTTTACAGTATTTAAATCTTACTGTAACACCACAATGTGCAGTTGTTGCTAAAACTGTATTTGATTTCATATTTGATAATGAATGGTAACAAAAAAATAAAAGATGATTATTTCGTAGGTGTAGGTTGCTTCTTAGATGTGATGATTGCTTCCAGCTCGGTCTAAAAAAATAAAATAGTAATTAGAGTTGATAGTGCACTGTGTAACTTTTTGGTTGGGGGTTTGTCATCTACTTGTTTCTATGGAGATGTTACTGCTCTGCCTGGGATGTTCCACAGTATGGCATTAAACAGCTCTACTTTCCATTTATTCAATTATAGGTGGTTTTATAGTTCAAAAATATCCAGAAAAACAGGCATTCGAACTCGAGC